AGATAATTATGGTACAGATCAATAACAAGGTGACCTACAGGCACCTCAAATAATTATGGTACAGATCAATAACATATTGACCTACAGGCACCTTTGATAGGATATCGTACAGATCAATAGCAGTGTGACCTACAGGCAACTCAGATAACTATGGTACAAATCAACAGCAGTGTGACCTACAGGCAACTTTGATATGATATGGTAGAGATCAATGGCAGGGTGACCTACAGGCACCTTTGATATGATATGGTAGAGATCAATGGCAGGGTGACCTACAGGCACCTCAGATAATTATGGTACAGATCAATAACATGTTGACCTACAGGCACCATTGATAAGATAGGGTACAGATCAAAAGCAGTGTAACCTTCAGGCACCTCAGATAATTATGGTACAAATCAATAGCAGTGTGACCTACAGGCACCTTTGATATGATATGGTAGAGATCAATGGCAGGGTGACCTACAGGCACCTCAGATAATTATGGTACATATCAATAGTAGGGTGACCTACAGGCACCTTTGATATGATATGGTAGAGATCAATGGCAGGGTGACCTAAAGGCACCTCAGATAATTATGGTACAGATCAATAACATGTTGACCTACAGGCACCATTGATAAGATAGGGTACAGATCAAAAGCAGTGTACCCTTCAGGCACCTCAGATAATTATGGTACAGATCAATAACATGTTGACCTACAGGCACCATTGATAAGATAGGGTACAGATCAAAAGCAGTGTAACCTTCAGGCACCTCAGATAATTATGGTACAAATCAATAGCAGTGTGACCTACATGCACCTTTGATATGATATGGTAGAGATCAATGGCAGGGTGACCTACAGGCACTTCAGATAATTATGGTACAGATCAATAGTAGGGTGACCTACAGGCACCTCAGATAATTATGGTACAGATCAGTAACAGGGTGACCTACAGGCACCTCGGATTATTATGGTACAGATCAATAGCAGGGTGACCTACAGGCAACTCAGATAATTATAGTACAGATCAACAGCAGTGTGACCTACAGGCACCTTTGATATGATATGGTACAGATCAATAGTAGGGTGACCTACAGGCACCTCAGATAATTATGGTACAGATCAGTAACAGGGTGACCTACAGGCACCTCGGATTATTATGGTACAGATCAATAGCAGGGTGATCTACAGGCAACTCAGATAATTAGGGTACAGATCAATAACAGGATGACTTACATGCAAAACCCAATGAGTTTCATCTGTTATACGGAATGGCCAGCAGTAGTTAAAATGTTATCAGGAGTAACCTGTCCTTACCCATACGTTTTTGTGTGACCTACAGCTACCCATGTATTATTGGGTATGGCTAGCAGTAAATCAAGTTTTATTGAGTATGACTTGCAATAAATCTTGTGCTGAAAAGTAATAGTAGTAGCATCGCCTGTGTTATAGACTAAAAGTATCTCAAGTCTATGTGTGGCCAGCGATAACCAGTAAACTATCTTTTGACGAGCAGAAAGACATCTGCATTTTAGTGCGACTTATGCAATGAACAAAGTAATTCTAGTATTTAGTGTCAACTGCATTATGCCCGGGCCGATGTTACAAAATTAAACATGTTCCACATTTATTAAGATACAGGTACTGTGATGCTGTTATCTGGTTGCTTCATCAATGTGCCTAGAATTAACCCTGGTGGCACAAGTTAACTCTACATGTGTACCAGTATACAGCACAGAACAGAACAGTTGTTCGCATCGGGCAATACAAGAGCCTTGATATGAAGTAATTGTACAAATGCAAATGTAGTTTAAAACATATAGATGTAAAATTGTAGAGAAATAGATTGTCAGAAAACCAAAACCTAATTATAATTATTAATTAAAAAATAAAAGATCTGATACCCCGCCGTACTAGTCATGCCACGAACAGTTCAATCAAAACCTTGGTGGACCTCCTACGACACCCATGAGTAGTTAAATATTCAACAAATTAATTTATGACTTGCATGTACGTGTCGCTTAGACCCCTGCCATGTACCAAATGGTCAATATAAATCATCCGTGTAATTTGCTCCATGGGATATTCTCAAAATCGCAACGGAGGAAATTTCTTGGCATGACTACTTTTCTACATGAAATAATATTGATGCCACCAATGAATTCCACACGTGAACACATACATGTCCCCCTTTTAAGTGAAAATCCTACGTGTTTGTAATAGATTTTCTATGTAGAGTAAAACGGTCAGAAATTAATTTAATTAGATTTAAAGTCCTTTAATACGACACCACTCTTTGACATCATGAATTACCAAAAAAAAGGGGAAAAACACTGGAACACTCAAGGAAGGAAATAAAAACTAGATTCGGGGGCTAGTTTTCGAAAGAATCCCAAGATATGTCATAAGATACATCTTAGGACTAATTGTATGACCATCTTATGACCATCATATGATATGTCATAGAATGTAAATCATAGCTGTCATAAGATATTCATACCTATGATGCTCTTGTGACAGTCAAAAGTGAAAATATATAAGTATGAAAATAATAACTATTAATATTCTTATCGTATACGAATATTTCATATTTTTCATTATAATGAACACGATGAACATGAAATTATGTATGAAAAGGAGTTAAAATCTGAGTTGACAATTTGTTTAAATTTAGTTAGAACTTCGCGTTCATGTATTATTATAATGCAGTGTTATCTGATTGGGAATACTTTTAAGATTTGGTACATCGAGTACCCGCTTAAAGAAATGCCCGTGCAAATACGTTAATGAACTACTATATAAAGAAAGAAATATTATAAATATTTATTAAAAATAATCATGACTAAGAAAAGGATTCCAAATTTTAAGTCGCAGGAGATTCAAATTTTAAATAACTAAGTGAAAAAGAATTAAAATGTTAATTGTTCGTGAACAATTGAGAGGGCTTTTCTTTTCGTTATGTAAAATATATGTTAAAATAAGCGTATAATGCATTGAAAAGCTCTAAAACACACATAAAACGATTAAAATATGGTCAAAAACACATAATTCGCAATTTGGGACATGACCTTATGATCTTTGTCAAGGTCATTGGTCTACGATGTCATTGCAAAATCCAATGGGTCTAGGACCTCTGGTTCAAGAGTTGAAGCTAATTTTGTCATTTTGAAAACCGTAAACGGAGGTTATGCCCCTTACGGATAGGTCAGCTCTCTTCGGTTAAAATGTTTAAAAGTTCCGCCTTAATGACCCAAACTTTTTTCACTATTCACGATTTCTGTAAGTATAATTGTTTTTGAGATATCCCATATAAAATGTAAGGTCAAAGGTCAAGGTCAACGTAAACATTTGACCTTGAGGAATGTTCAAGGTCACATGAATTGATGATCATTGGTGAAGACCCTAGGTGATTACGACTACGGTTTCTGAGTTTTAGTGGCCAACCGACATCGGTTAATTTTCAAAGGGGCATCATGTACTAATGAGTCGTTGAATCTTTTCGATCAAAATCTAACCAAGAACCAGGGTCTGGTCCTGAACAAATTCCACTCTTTGTTTTTTTTTTCTACCTATTATGGTTACGGTGTTTGAATGATAACAAGGTTTACAGTGTATGGGGAGATATAACCGCTATAAAGGAAATGTTACGGCGTGGTGTCCTAACCATATGATAGCTTTTGGTCAACCGATACTTGATACCTAATATCATTTCAACATGTCGCGTACTTTTTTTGGGAAATGTCGTTAAAGTTTGGCGGAAAGAATAATAATAATAATCAGCAAAATACAGTAAGGTCTTTCCTTATAGTGAAAGGAAACCCCTTAATAAATCTTTACTATTTGTTTTAGCAGATTAAACAACACAACACACAGTGCCAAAAAGAGAGCAAGGGACAGTAGAGGATCCAGGAAGAGGGGCACGCTCCAGTGATTCCCTATATAATTAACAAAATTTGCCCACAAAAGGGGGGCCGGGCACCCTGCTCCCCTAAGTCAACCTCTGAGGGAGGCTTCATGCAGAAACTGATTTAGTAGGAGGGGACAGGGCCTCGCCCCCTATGGAGTTACATATATGTACACATATGTATAGACTTTTAGCAAACGTTGCCTAGTTTGGGCCCCCCTTTTTTCAAAATCCTGGATCTGCATGTTGCATGTGCAAATAAAAATGCATTAAATGACACTTATCACCTTAGAAACAAAACTTGAGACCCTTTCGAATACATATCTTACGACTATGAAATGTCCAACAACCATCGTAAGACATGTCTTAGTCATAAGATACTTTCGAAAACCAGGCCCCAGGTCTTGCCTTTCAATTTCCTCATTGTCCCTCATATAAATAATTGTAAATCCATGATATCCTACGTGAACAGATCTACAACATTTTAAAAGTTGGTGATATGTAAATGTGACCTGCAGTCACCTATCATTTTGCCTAATATGACTGTTAATGGTATTTTAAATATTTCCAATAAATTTTCAACGTAATACAAAGATAAAAACGGAATATCTCAAACCTTAAGTTACAACTAAAGGACAAAAAATGCATATTATAGAGACTGACAGAATTTATGATGTTAAGCACCAACTGAGTCACGTGGCATGTAATAACATCGTCGAATTTTTTGCCGGAATTTATCTTACTTGTAAATAAAAGGCTATTCTATTGAATTTGATAATCAAGAAACATGGCACTTCAATGCACTAAATTTATAGCAAATTATTTTACCGCACATACATGCTCAATTACAATGTTTCCTTTTAGGTATTTAGATTTACCTTTTTGGTTGGGACTACATTAACTTGCGTAACTATTCGTAGTGCTACGGTTTTGACGTTGGGTGACTGGCAGTAACCTTTCACATAAGCTTTTATCCTCGTGACCTATGGCAATATAAATAACTATATGCGTAATATTTTAAGGCCGTACACAACTATGCGTGATTGCAACATGTACATGTACGGTATGAACTGTGCAAAATGAATGACAATGTTTTCACAAATACTTACAGATGAAAAATAAAACGGCAGTGATGAGTGAAGATAGCCATGATGTTATCCCGCTCCCTTCGTTAAAAACTTCCAGGATGACAACATAAACCACACAAGCTGAGTATGATATCCCATATATCACTATTCTGTTTAAGGCAGCGGCTGCTACTATCATCCATCCCCAACAACCATCCACTTCCCCTTTCCTCATATCTTAAATACAAAAGACTGTTTTCCGTGTTGTCAATAGATTAGCACGCATTATTAACCTCTCCTCGGAGACGTTATTAAGAATTGAACGATGGACAGTCAGTGCGTGAATGCCTCTTACTACCTGATTCGAAGATATTACGAGACGTGAATAATCAAAGTTTGTTGATTGGTTAGGACAATCCAAACCTAGAAAATGTCTTTCAATCCCGTAGAGTATCGGATTTGTCCTCTCTATTTTAGCAATTAGATTTTGCCTGGTCATTTATCATGCATATTCATGAGATTGGTACACAGGTAACTTTTATCTATAAATAGCCGAATCTTCTGCAGTTTTGTAAACACACACAACGTTAAACGATATACTACTTCATAACGTGTGACCTCACGTGAGTGGTAAAATTTGTTGATTGATATGCAAGACTATTCTGAATGAATTAATCTACAAAGCGAGAACACTTTCCATTTTCATCAGCTATTAAAGAGACGGATAGCGTTTTTTTGAAAAGCTATTACTTGTATTTATTACAATCAGGATGCTCCATGTAGTACCTTGTACACACAAGGGAAGTAATTATTTGACATTTACATTTTATGTATCCAGTCATTTAATTTAGAAGTGCGAATCGATAACACAAATAATATATGTTCAAAAACTTTCAAGCTTTCAGTGCCAGTGTATATAAAGGGCGAATCCAGTTAGTTCATTTTCACTGTTGTATGCGAGTATGTCTATTGTAGAATAAAGGATGATGGGAAAAACTGCCTTTGTTTACTTTTTAAAAATACAATAAAATTGAATGAATGTATGTTTTAATACAATTTCATAAGAATATAACTTTTTAATGTATAATAACAGGATTAATGTCCAAAAAAGTGTAATTAAAGCAGCAGAATCCATAATATTAATTACTGAATGCGATTCATTTTAACTATAAATGCGATGAATTATCACTGTAAGTGCAATAATTTCTGATGTGGAATTTTTGAAGGTGCTATGAATTTTCATTGTTGATTTATATGTTAATTCGACATGCAACAACTGAAAATAGTTTTTAAATGACTTTACTATTGATGATATTTACAATTTGAAATGCAAGCTAGTCGTAGATGCCTACTTGAATATACACGGGTATAACCACGTTCATATCATGCATATTCAAATATTGTTGGTGAGTTTGCTATTAGCTTAATTGTCATGGATCCGAAAATTTACTGGAGCAAAACATCCATGAATATAACGTATTTCTACGGCGAATTTTCCTTTAGAAGTTTGAGAACTCGCATAAAAAAGCTCTGAAAATTTGTCACGCCGTGTCATACATATTTCTACCATATTGATAGGCTTTTGCACAATGAACAGTACAAGAATGTACAACGAACGGTAATAAAGAAATTTAACAAACTACAAAGAGAATGAATCGTACAGTGCCAAAATTCTGAGGTCAGTTTTTCAAGTAAATGTCTTCAAAAATAATTAAAACAACGGGTTTCTCATTCGCATTATGTATTATTCACAACAACAAATCACAAAATACACGGTTGCATTGAGTGTAAGAGCCAACCAAATATGCTCTATTTGTAATTTAATCAAGTTTGAGTTACACAGATTGTTTGTTTCGCGATGTTTACAAGTAATTCACAGACCTGTCTATTTAAAATAGTCACATGGTGTTCATGTAATATAGCTGCCAGGAAAAAGTATTGCAACACCTGATTTTTTCATTAGAAAAATTTCAAACCTTACGTGTACCATTTTTTTCTAAAATATGGTTAAATGTTCATAGTTTTGGGGTGAATTTGGTCTTTTTAAAGCTGATAGACATGTTAAACACTGAAAAATTCAAATTTAATTATACAAAATTTAACAACATTTTAAACCAAATTATATCCCTGTTGTACCTGTAGTCTTGTTGCTATAAAGTCCAGGCTTTATTTTTGTTGCAGTCACAAGGAGCCATGTGAGCTCACTTCAGGGTTTGTCATCTCAACTTTACAAATTTGTCCAATGACCTGGGCTCCGAAACCAAGATGGACCACATGGCTAAAATAGAACATATTGATAACATGCTTGTTGTCTTTGTATTTGAACACCATTAATAAATTACAGAAAAATCTTGACATGACCGGAAATGCTCAGAATGTTTAGCTCTACCAATTGACCATATACAAATAGAAATTTCAAACAACTTTCTATTAGTTTAACTTGTTGCCCTTTAACTTCACATTTTACCCCCCTTTTTTTTGCCTGTTATCTTGAAATTATAATAGTAACATTAAATGAAACAAACAATAACTTCTCAGTATTATATCAGAAATTTATAAAAAACCTAAAGGGAGGTTATCTTAATAGATATAAATCAGTTATCAAAGTTTAATGAAAACTGCTCTAAGCACTTTAAGGATATTGTCCAAAAACTTGAAAATCAACCCTTTTTTATGAATAAAATCTTATAACTCGGAAACGTAAAATCTTAAACTTATAAAAATCAAAAGGGAGCTTACAACAATAGATATAAACAATTTACCAAAGTTTAATAAAAAAATGCTGAAAGCATTTTTGAGTTATTGTCCGAAAACTGGAAAATCCCCCTTTTTGTAATGAATAAAACCCCATAAATCAGAAACGTATATTCTAAAATTAAAAAAAATAAAAAGGGAGCTCATGTCGATAGAAATAAACAGTTCACCAAAGTTTCTTGCAAATTGGTGAAATTGTTTTTGAGTTATTGTCCAAAAACTGGAAAATCCCCCTTATTTAAATGAATAAAACCCCATAACTTGGAAATGTAAAATCTAAAATTAATAAAATTCTAAAGGGAGCTTACATCAATACTGAATAGATATAAACAATTCACCAAAGTTTCATAAAAAAATGCTTAAAGCATTTTTGAGTTATTGTCCGAAAACTGGAAAATCCCCCTTTTGTAATGAATAAAACCCCATAAATCAGAAACGTATATTCTAAAATTAAAAAAAATAAAAAGGGAGCTCATGTCGATAGAAATAAACAATTCACCAAAGTTTCTTGCAAATTGGTGAAATTGTTTTTATTAAGAATAGTTCACGAACAGAGCGTGCAAAAGATTTAAAAGTAGCAGTTAAGTTTCATTTGAAGAAAAATGTACCTTTTGACATAATTATTAATGTTGTATAACTTAAAACAGGTTTTGTTATTCAGCTTGTTGATATTGACTCAAATTCCACTATACTGTTTTCGTTATGCGATTCATTTTTACTGTCGAATAATGATACTAGACTTTCATTTTCACTGTAGGGCGATTCATTTTTATTGTACATGCGATGCATTTTCACAGAAGGAAATGAATTAATTTTCATTATATAAAGTCTTAATTCAGCCGACTCTCTAACAAAATTTATGAATTCAGAAGGAGAGATTATATATATACATACTTTGTGAGTGAAAGTCTGAGGTAATATACCAATAAATTCCTTAGAAATAGCATTTAGTGCTAATATAGTCAATTCTATTTTCTCTAATAATTTATCCAGATCAAGATCTATATATAGGATAATATTTATTCCATCCTATGACATGCCATCATTGAATACATATATCTTGGACAGTTAAGCCAATCCACGTCACCGAAAAAGCAGAGTTTCTGATTCGGTCTAAATCTACATCGCATACTAATAAATTAAACGTTATTAGAGCTATTTTCCTAATGTTTGTAGTTTAAAGGTTTGGGTGGCTTGCTTGCTTTGTTTGTATAAATGTTTGCTTAAGCATTGTAATTAAGATTGAATAAACATTTATACAAACATAGCATGCAAGCCAACCAAACTTTTAAACTACAAGCATTAGGAAAATAGCTCTAATGGATGCATTTTAGATAACAAAGAGCATTCACAAAACGATCTTCATTTCACGATTGAATGAGTGGAAACGTTTTCATCTTGCACAAACAATTGACGCTTGGATGACTGGATAATTGATATTTATCATTTTATTGTGTACACATCTAATACATTAAAGAAAGTTGGAGCAACAGTCGAGTCACCTTAGTTCATGTTTTAATTTCTTTAAGTCTGTTTTTAAAAATAAGCAAATACGCAATTGTAAGAATACAAGGAAATATTGAAAACAGTTTAGTGTTACATGTTTAAATGGTTCTATACCACGGGGTATAACCGCCTTATAGTTGATTCCAGACGTTTATCGCTACATCGCCAAGCGATGTTAGTAGATAGACCGTTCTTATATTTTCACCAAAGACTAATTGACGCACTGTTCAGTTAAGTATTCAATGTTTATGAAAACAAAGTTTACTGCTCCTGACAGCTATATTACATGAACACCATGTGACTATTTTAAATAGACAGGTCTGTGAATTACTTGTTAACATCGCGAAACAAACAATCTGTGTAACTCAAACTTGATTAAATTACAAATAGAGCATAGTTGGTTGGCTCTTACACTCAATGCGACCGTGTATTTTGTGATTTGTTGTTGTGAATAATACATAATGCGAATGAGAAACCCGTTGTTTTAATTATTTTTGAAGACATTTACTTGAAAAACTGACCTCAGAATTTTAGCACTGTACGATTCATTCTCTTTGTAGTTTGTTAACTTTCTTTAGTACCGTTCGTTGTACATTCTTGTACTGTTCATTGTGCAAAAGCCTATCAATATGGTAGAAATATGTATGACACGGCGTGACAAATTTTCAGAGCTTTTTTATGCGAGTTCTCAAACTTCTAAAGGAAAATTCGCCGTAGAAATACGTTATATTCATGGATGTTTTGCTCCAGTAAATTTTCGGATCCATGACAAGCTAATAGTAAACTCACCAACAATATTTGAATATGCATGATATGAACGTGGTTATACCCGTGTATATTCAAGTAGGCATCTACGACTAGCTTGCATTTCAAATTGTAAATATCATCAATAGTAAAGTCATTTAAAAACTATTTTCAGTTGTTGCATGTCGAATTAACATATAAATCAACAATGAAAATTCAAAGCACCTTCAAAAATTCCACATCAGAAATTATTGCACTTACAGTGATAATTCATCGCATTTATAGTTAAAATGAATCGCATTCAGTAATTAATATTATGGATTCTGCTGCTTTAATTACCCTTTTTTGGACATTAATCCTGTTATTATACATTAAAAAGTTATATTCTAATGAAATTGTATTGTATTTTTTAAAAAGTAAACAAACGCAGTTTTTCCCATCATCCTTTATTCTACAATAGACATATAGCTCGCATACAACAGTGAAAATGAACTAACTGGATTCGCCCTTTATATACACTGCCACTGAAAGCTTGAAAGTTTTTGAACATATATTATTTGTGTTATCGATTCGCACTTCTAAATTAAATGACTGGATACATAAAATGTAAATGTCAAATAATTACTTCCCTTGTGTGTAGAAGGTACTACATGGAGCATCCTGATTGTAATAAATACAAGTAATAGCTTTTCAAAAAAACACTATCCGTCTCTTTAATAGCTGATGAAAATGGAAAGTGTTCTCGCTTTGTAGATTAATTCATTCAGAATAGTCTTGCATATCAATCAACAAATTTTACCACTCACGTGAGGTCACACGTTATGAAGTAGTATATCGTTTAACGTTGTGTGTGTTTACAAAACTCCAGAAGATTCGGCTATTTATAGATAAAAGTTACCTGTGTACCAATCTCATGAATATGCATGATTAATGACCAGGCAAATTAAATCTAATTGCTAAAATAGAGAGGACAAATCCGATACTCTACGGGATTGAAACACATTTACTAGGTTTGGATTGTCCTAACCAATCAACAAACTTTGATTATTCACGTCTCGTAATATCTTCCAATCAGGTAGTAAGAGGCATTCACGCACTGACTGTCCATCGTTCAATTCTTAATAACGTCTCGAGGAGAGGTTAATAATGCGTGCTAATCTATTGACAACACGGAAAACAGTCTTTTGTATTTAAGATATGAGGAAAGGGGAAGTGGATGGTTGTTGGGGATGGATGATAGTAGCAGCCGCTGCCTTAAACAGAATAGTGATATATGGGATATCACACTCAGCTGGTGTGGTTTATGTTGTCATCCTGGAAGTTTTTAACGAAGGGAGCGGGATAACATCATGGCTATCTTCACTCATCACTGCCGTTTTATTTTTCACCTGTAAGTATTTGTGAAAACATTGTCATTCATTTTGCACAGTTCATACCGTACATGTACATGTTGCAATCACGCATAGTTGTGTACGGCCTTAAAATATTACGCATATAGTTATTTATATTGCCATAGGTCACGAGGATAAAAGCTTATGTGAAAGGTTACTGCCAGTCACCCAACGTCAAAACCGTAGCACTACGAATAGTTACGCAAGTTAATGTAGTCCCAACCAAAAAGGTAAATCTAAATACCTAAAAGGAAACATTGTAATTGAGCATGTATGTGCGGTAAAATAATTTGCTATAAATTTAGTGCATTGAAGTGCCATGTTTCTTGATTATCAAATTCAATAGAATAGCCTTTTATTTACAAGTAAGATAAATTCCGGCAAAAAAATCGACGATGTTATTACATGCCACGTGACTCAGTTGGTGCTTAACATCATAAATTCTGTCAGTCTCTATAATATGCATTTTTTGTCCTTTAGTTGTAACTTAAGGTTTGAGATATTCCGTTTTTATCTTTGTATTACGTTGAAAATGACTGTTTATTGGAAATATTTAAAATACCATTAACAGTCATATTAGGCAAAATGATAGGTGACTGCAGGTCACATTTACATATCACCAACTTTTAAAATGTTGTAGATCTGTTCACGTAGGATATCATGGATTTACAATTATTTATATGAGGGACAATGAGGAAATTGAAAGGCAAGACCTGGGGCCTGGTTTTCGAAAGTATCTTATGACTAAGACATGTCTTACGATGGTTGTTGGACATTTCATAGTCGTAAGATATGTATTCGAAAGGGTCTCAAGTTTTGTTTCTAAGGTGATAAGTGTCATTTAATGCATTTTTATTTGCACATGCAACATGCAGATCCAGGATTTTGAAAAAAGGGGGGCCCAAACTAGGCAACGTTTGCTAAAAGTCTATACATATGTGTACATATATGTAACTCCATAGGGGGCGAGGCCCTGTCCCCTCCTACTAAATCAGTTTCTGCATGAAGCCTCCCTCAGAGGTTGACTTAGGGGAGCAGGGTGCCCGGCCCCCATTTTGTGGGAAAAATTTTGTTAATTATATAGGGAATTCCTGGAGCGTGCCCCCTGTTCCTGGATCCTCTACTATCCCTTGCTCTCTTTTTGGCACTGTGTGTTGTGTTGTTTAATCTGCTAAAACAAATAGTAAAGATTTATTAAGGGGTTTCCTTTCACTATAAGGAAAGACCTTACTGTATTTTGCTGATTATTATTATTATTCTTTCCGCCAAACTTTAACGACATTTCCCAAAAAAAGTACGCGACATGTTGAAATGATATTAGGTATCAAGTATCGGATGACCAAAAGCTATCATGTGGTTAGGGCACCACGCCGTAACATTTCCTTTATAGCGGTTACCCAGGTAGCACAAAAACATTTTAATGATATCTTTAAAATATATTGCAAAATGTCACAAAAATATCATTCAAAAATATTTTTTTGACGTGAAATGTATGGTGTACTCATGTGAATAGCATATTTTCTGCAGATATTTGTTCTGACTGTATAAAGAACATTATTTTTAAATATCTTGATTTTATATTTAAATAACATAATTTTGATATCATTCAGTGTCAATTGAAAATATCCAGACAACATATATATCAAACGTTATCCAAAAATATCCTTTTCATGTTTATAATATGTTTTATGGATGTCTACAAAATGTTTTTAAAATATCAGAGGCAAGTTTAGGTAGAAATATTTCTTGAAAATGTAAATTACATATTTCAACAATGTTTTATGGATGTCTTCCCAATATTCTTAAAATATCTTGGTAGTATATTTGTTAAAAACATTATATAAATATTCAAACAATGTTTTATGTTCAGGCCAACTCTCAGCTTGCAAATATATCGTGCATATTTAGACTAACATTTATCAGCTCTCCTCCAGGGCACCTGTTTCTTGTTCTATCATTATATGTAATGTAATGTAGACTGGTTTTTTTTTTTTTTTTGCAATGCGATTGTTTTTCTCCGACGTACAAGTGGATATTTGAATTTTCGTTTGATATTTTTCAGACTCTTTCAAACAATTAAGAGCAGTCAAAGCATGACATGTGTATACTGCCAACACAAAAGCATTGATAGAATAGCTTATTCATATGACAGGACTTAATTATGACTGTCAATGAATATTGAATTTTCCTGAATAGCATTTTAACATTTTATTAATTAGTCAGAATCTGTATTTTCTACTGCAAGCCTCCTCCTCTTGTTTGCTTTCTGAAGAAGAAAAAAATATGTAAATGTTTAAAGGTAATTGAGATTAAAGCTTTAAAGCCGATATTAATTCAAACTTGATTCTTTTTTCAAACATTATGACAAAGATTTTATTATAATAATTAGATTACAGGTTTGCCGTTATTTTGATTATGATATGGATTCGGGAAACAGAACTATGTCAAAAAACGTTCTAACTAAATAAATAATTCAAGTGAAAAAATACAAAGTCAAATCTAAATCAAAGTGACACTTAGCATTAACGGTAATATTAAACATTTTATGCATATATATATCTGCGAATTTCAAATCCGATGTAGCATAAAGGATGGCTATTATGTTACTTACTTAAAGTAATTCATTCTGGGCTATCAAATGGTAGAATGCATTTTGTAGCCAGAATATTTTCAATGATTACTACTATTATTTTGCACTCTGATTTAATTTGTCTTCTGTAGTACTCAAATGCCTGACCTATAAATTTATATGAGAATGTAAAATTGTATATTAAAAAGAAAATCTACTTCAAGTAATTCATACACGAATCTGTCTGCAAATTTGTATAGACTTTTCCGTTTAGAAATATCCCAAAGCGGGATATTTTTTTTTACATTTTCCCCCCTTTTTTCCTATATACATGCCGTTTCATTTTGTTTTATATTTAACTTTTGATGCAGTTCACTTTTTCATGATTTCGTAATGTTTAATTATAAAACGGCATACATATAATTTAAAGTAGCGTCTTCAGCTTTTTGTGATATTTACTCCTACAACATGCACAAACTATTCAAATACAGATTTTATTTTGCTAAAGTTTTGTAGAGGACAAAAAAACAAGATTCAGTCGAGTCCGTATGCATGTTATATCAATTACGAATTTTTTAAATTACAACTTACATGTTTCTTTCTCTCTGAACTGTGATTTTCTCTTTTGGTTTTCTTTGTTATCACTGCTTTCGGAAGTTACAAATAGACGACAGGAAATAAACCTCAAAAGTGACCATCCCATTACATTTAGATTTTCTATAAACTTAATTACCATAGCAACTAGCTTTGAAATGTGTCCAACATCTGGTTAACCTTATCAGAATGTACTTGATTAACAGAATGGATGTATCAAATATCACTGTGTATATAATTGCTATTATGTTTCATAAATTAAAGTTGAACGAAAAAAGTTATAATAATACGTACATGATTGAAATGTTCATCAAAGGTTAAAATCATCAAGGAGGTTATCTCATATAACCTCTTTGGAATTATTAAAGTTTTTCAATAAAAATGAGGAGACATTCATGTTAATGTGATATCTAAAAAATATTTCTCTTTCATATCAAATACATGCTTCACTCAAATATTACTAACAAACATTTGATAAACATTTCTGTCATACATCTTACAAATATTTATAAGACATATTATGTTAAAATGTTTATAAAATAGCCTTCAACTAATATTTTCTAAATAAAATTGAAAAATATATTGTTATGACGTTATTAAAATATTCATTAGATATTACCAGCTTATATTTTTAATTAGGACAAGAAAATAATTTAGATTTTACAGCAAAAGGATATTTTATTATACATCAAACCTATGCTTTACGCAGATATTAATCAAAAATGTTTTATAAACATTTCTTTTACACATCTTACAAATATATATTATAATTATAATATAAAAATGTCCATCCGATATTGTTTAAATATTGTAAAGAAATATCTCCTCGACATATAACTGTTCTCATTTATAAAACTGTCTATTAAACGTTTAAAAAACATCAGCAAAAAATATTTATTTATTTATTATAAAAAAATATTTACAAAATATGTTTTTATATGAGCAATCAAACATTGGGATGAAATGTTATTGGTAAAATATCATTCACACATAATTTCTGATGTAAACAAAATGTCTTTAAAATACTTTTTTGAAAATATTTCTGATAAAAATATATATAACCAGTCAATGATATCACGAAAAATATTGTGTGTTAGCTGGGTATCTCCCCTAACACTGAAAACCTTGTTATCATTCAAACACCGTAACCATAATAGGTAGAAAAAAAAACAAAGAGTGGAATTTGTTCAGGACCAGACCCTGGTTCTTGGTTAGATTTTGATCGAAAAGATTCAACGACTCATTAGTACATGATGCCCCTTTGAAAATTAACCGATGTCGGTTGGCCACTAAAACTCAGAAACCGTAGTCGTAATCACCTAGGGTCTTCACCAATGATCATCAATTCATGTGACCTTGAAAATTCCTCAAGGTCAAATTTTTACGTTGACCTTGACCTTTGACCTTACATTTTATATGGGATATCTCAAAAAACAATTATACTTACAGAAATCGTGAATAGTGAAAAAAGTTTGGGTCATTAAGGCGGAACTTTTAAACATTTTAACCGAAGAGAGCTGACCTATCCGTAAGGGGCATAACCTCCGTTAACGGTTTTCAAAATGACAAAATTAGCTTCAACTCTTAAACCAGAGGTCATAGACCCATTGGATTTTGCAATGACATCGTAGACCAATGACCTTGACAAAGATCATAAGGTCAAAAGTCAAGGTCATGTCCCAAATTGCGAATTATGTGTTTTTGACCATATTTTAATCGTTTTATGTGTGTTTTAGAGCTTTTCAATGCATTATACGCTTATTTTAACATACATTTTACATAATTAAAAGAAAAGCCCTCTCAATTGTTCACGAACAATTAACATTTTAATTCTTT